TATAGTCCAAATAAGCTAGGTGGCAGTTTAAAAAAATATCAGCTAATATTTACTGTAATTATATTTATCCACATAAAGATTTCAAAGAGATCCTTGATTTAGGCACTAATTCAAGGTGTTACGTACTGGGATTCAAAGATAACAACCAATGAATTGAATAACAATGGTTAAATAAGACTGCCTAGGTTTATTTCTTTTATTTATTGATTGATTTAGAGAGGGAAAGGGAGAGGGAGGGGGAGGGGGAGAGAGGGGGAGAGAGAGGGGGAGAGAGAGAGAGAGAGAGAAATACAGAGACATCAATTTGTCGTTCCATCCATCTATGCATTCATTGGTTGATTCTTTTTTTTTAAACATATCTTTACTGATTTGGGGGGGGGGGATAGAAACATCAGTGATCAGAGTCACTGGCTGCCTCCTGCACACCCCCTACTGGGGATCGAACCTGAAACTAGGGCATGTGTCCTGACTGGGAATCGAACAGCAATTTTCTGGATCATAGGTTGATGCTCAACCGATGAGTCACACTTGCCAGGCATTGGTTGATTCTTGTACATGCCCTGACCGGACCCGAAACTTTGGCGTATCAGGACAAACCTCTAACCAACTGAGCTACCCAGTCAGGACAAGACTGCCTAGCTTTAAATCTAGGTCCACAAATCTAGGTGGTTAGCTGTGTTACATTGAACTAGTGGCTTGATCGTTCATATCAGTATGTTGTCAGTAAACATAACAGTTTTAATCACACAGAGCTGTTGTGAGGATTAAAGGAGATGATGCATATAACGCAGTCTAGCACAGTAACTGGGCATAGAGTAAGTAAACAATAAATGTTAGTGTTATTGCTATCATTTCTCTTTCAGGAGCTCACAGCTTATTAGCAGAGACAAAAAAGAAGCTCAATGCGATACATTCTAAGAGAGGTATGCAGTCTTATGGGAGTCCAAAGTTACTTGCCCCACTGAAAAGATTAAAGAGAACTCAGCCACAACAATCGCTGTTACAGACAATATACCAGTTTTATTCACAGCATGCTTTGATCATGACTAAAAACTTCCTATATTAAGTATACAATCATAAACATGGTTTACATCATAGTGAAACTAAAAGATCTACATTTCTGTCATGCCTAAAATAGAGATATGAGTACAAGTCTAGAATTAAAACCTATAACCAAACCCCCTCAGACAAATATGCTATTGAGTTTTAGCTGAAAATATTGTGCAAAAATTCACAGAAAATTTCACCAGAAAAAAAAGCTGGAAGTGAGCTCTAATCTTACAATGAATAAGTAATATATGTTTAGTGAACTAAATTACAAATACCCAAATCTCAAACTTTCATTCAATAAAACTGGTAACTCCTAAAATGTGCTAGACACCACATGGGGAGCTGGAGAGAGAATGATGTGCAAAAGCAGATATTCTTGCCCTCAAAGGTTTTACAGTTTAGAGGCAAATCAAATGTTATTTTATAAAATTACAATATAATGGGAATCTGGGTGGGAGAGAGAGTTGAGAATATTCTTCTTACACTTAATCTACATGGGAAAAGTATCACATAAATATTACCAAAATAAATTTAATAAAACTGCAGTTTCTAACTGCTTTGGCAAATGGATTCAAATAGTCAAAATAAAGCAGCTAATTAGCAGTGGGAATCATGATTTGCCTTTAGCCTATGAAGATCTGCCAGGTTAAGTAGTCTTGCAGTTTCACTATCAATTTGTGCAAAGGAAATATGTATACACAAATCTACATAGAAACTTAGAAAAACCTGTTTCAACAATTGTAAATTGTAATGCAACGTAACAATCAACCACAGAAAGGTCTCCATATATAAGGAATTCTGTAATATAATGGCACCATACAATATGAAAGCAAGTTATAGAAAAACAAAAAGAGGTAATTACAGTAGCCCCCCTTATTCACAGTTTTGCTTTCTGTAGTTTCAGGTCAACCAAGGTCCGAAAATATTAAATGGAAAATTCCAGAAATAAACAATTCATAAGTTTTACATTGCATGCTATTCTGAGTACCTCACTTCATTTGATGTAAGCATTATACCATCTCGCATCATCACAGAAAGGATGAGTTACACTACAAGATATTCTGAGAAAATATTCAAGTAACTTATTACAGTATATTGTTTAACTGTTCTACTTTATTACTAGTTATTATTGTTTATCTCTTACTGTGCCTAATTTATAAATTAAACTTTATCATAGGTACGTATGTATAGGAAAAAACATGGCACATATAGGGTTCAGTACTATCCACAGTTTCAGGCATCCACTGGAACGTATCTCCTACGGATAAGGGGGGACCACTGTATTTGGGTCTTTTGATTATAATCTAAAAATATCTGAAGGTCCAAATGAACTGTAATATGTAATTTAAGCAAGCTACATTAAATTGAAAGCTTAAGAGTATTCAATAGAATATCTTTATTTATTGAGTTTTAGAGAAAGAGAAAGTGAGAGAGGGAGAGACATCAACATGAGAGAGAAATATTGACTGGTTGCCTTCCACACAGGCCACAACCGGGGATTGAACCAGCAACCTAGGTATGTACCCTGACTGGGAATCGAACCCAAAACCTTTTGGTATATGGGACAAAGCTATAACCAACTGAGCCACCTTGCCAGGGCTCAGTAGAATATTTAAGCAGCAATAACTGCCTTGAAAGAGTTAACCAAAATAAAACTACATTCCAACACTGAACTTTTTTTTCACCTTCTAGAGAAATACCCTCCTCTTCAATTCTCTACCACATTCACACTCTCTTTATTCGTATTAGTGGAATGCACAAAAGGAACCCAATTTAGGACATCAGCCATTTTACTGAGACTACCTCCACAAAATAGTTTAGAAATGGGGCTTATAAAAAGACTGTTAATTAGATATTTTAAAAGGTATGTATTTATGCAGTTCTACGATTTCCTTCCCTATGTGAATCTCCATTTGGCTCTGAGGAACCTGTATACAAGGAGGGGACTATTCTTGGGTTTTGGTTTTTTGTTTGTTTTTTTAATCCTCACCGAAGGATATTTTTTCCATTGATTTTTACAGAGAGGAAGGGAGGGAGGGGGAGAGAGAGAAAAAAAATCCATGTGAGAAACACATCGACTGGTTGCCTCCCACGTGCGCGCACACCCAGACCAGAGCCAGGGATCAAAAGAGACCCTTCTGTTGGTAGGGCAACAACGCTCTCACCACTAAGCAATCCGGCCAGGGCTATATCTTGGGTTTTATTTTCCCAAGGACAGAATTTAGAAGGCATGCAACAAATGTCTGTTGGATAGGATCAAATCAACACAGTGACATCTCCAATACAGCATATCACAGAAGCTAAATTCCTTTGACATTTATAAATTAACAAAACTATAGTTTCACATAAGCTTACAAGCATAATTTGTAGGATTTTCCATTTATTTATTTTTATGCATTTATTTATTTTAATTTTTATTTATTGATTTGAGAGAGAGGAAAGAAGAGAGAGAGAGAAACATCAATTTGTTGTTCCATTTACTCATGGATTCATTGGTTACTTCTTGTATGTGCCCTGAGTGGGAATCGAACCCACAACCTTGGAGTATGACTGGAGTATCCGGACCACCTCTAATCAACTGAGCTACCTGGCAAGGGCTGGATTTACCATTTAAAGCTCATGTACAATTGCCCTGCTCTGGTAGCTTGGTTGGTTAGATTGTGGTCCCCATATGCCAAGGCTGTGAGTTCAATCCTCAGTCAGGGCACATACAAGAAGCAAACAATGAATGCATGATTAAATGGAAAAACAAATCAATCTCTCTCTCTCCCTCAAATTCATAAATAAAAAATATTTAAAGCTCATGTAAAATTGCAATTTATACATTATAAAAACCATAGCCACCTTAAGTTTGTTGACCTTAAAGTAATTTTTAAAAAATGATTCCATTCTCAATGTAAATGTTAGTAGTCTAAAATAAATGTAGTTTACGCAATGTAACCATAAATTTGAGAAGAACAATTGATTTAATTGAACACCATTTCAGTGCTTACCCCCACTTATTCTTGCTTCTGCCCACTCACAGACATTTTTAAAAGTCTTTTAGAGCTTTCTTTGTAAAAAAAGACAGTAGTGTTCTTTTAAAATAATGTAAATTAGCTATTTTGGTCATTGGCTACTCCTGAACTTCACAGAAATTTTAGATTCCAACGGAAATTTCAGTATTTTAGTATTATTCCAGTTTTGTTTCCCTGAACCAAAGATTTGCAGGCAAACTGGTAACTTGGCAAACTGTTGGCAATCTGCTTTTATTATAACAATTATAATAAAATCACAATGCAGGATAATTTTTTAAATCCTACAAAAGGTAAAAAAAAAAAAAAAAATTATAAGACACTCTCACACCAAATGACAAATTATAGTGCCACATGCACACCCCCGTCAGAGGTTCCGAGAGTTGTGTCCAACCACTTTCCAAGCGATGTAAAGACCTCTGGAAATCAAACAGGAAATCCTCCCCCCCATTTGGTTCTTCCAAAGCAGAAAAACTGAACCGGTGGCCTAAGTACAATTCGAAGAAGGTTCTGGGAAAGATCAACAGGCCCTAAAGGGATCTCGGGAAAGTACAATCACTCATTAATGTCCACAAATTCAGACCGAGTACGACCCCCTCCTACTGCAGGCCCTGCGGGACTGAAATGAATCAGACCCCAACAACTATGAGCTTTGCGAGTTTTGAGGTATGGACCGAATCTATTTTTCACCCAGGTTTACAAGTGCTCATTAACTGTTTGCTGAACAAGTAAACAAACAAATATAAAACACTAAGACGAGCTGGGGGTTGCGGGTGCACATTCGCCGCTGTCTCCGTGGCCCAGCCGCCGCCGGCTTCAGACCCAGGTCCGGAGGTCACCCTCCCATCTTTTCGCCTCAGGCGGCGGCAGCAACCAAAGTTCAGCTCGAGCCCGGGCCCAGGCTGCGCCCTCCCCGCGCCCCCGAGCGGCACCTACCGTTGGTGTAGAGAGACCCCGAGGCCGAGGCGGCCCCATTCTGGGTCTGGAGGCCGGTTAGGGCGCCGCCGGAGGCCGGTATCCCCGGCTGGGACATGACGACGGGTGGTTATCGGGGTTGGAAGGAGCTGGTCCGGAGCTGCGACAGCGCCAAGCGAAGAGGTGAAAGACGACTACTGGAAGCGAAGGGAAAGAACTAACGACTTAGGACTGAAGGCAGAGACGAGAGGGGGCGGCGCATCAAGCCCTAGGCCTGGCGCCGCATTCTCCCCAGCCCACCAGCGGCCAAGGCTTGGCCTGGGAGCTGAGGGTAGGCAGTCGGGCCGGTGGGGCCGGGAACGCGGGGCTGGAAGGAGGCAGCCAAGCGTAGACAGAAGCGAGGCCCCCGCCGGAAGTGTCTGTCAGCCGCCTGCCGCGCAGGCGCAATGGGGACACGTGGCACTTCCGGCTCCGCACTGGCGGCTGCGGCCGCAATCGGTGCTCTCCCAGCCGGGCTGCCCGGAGGCCACCTGACAGCCCCGGGTGTCAGGGCCCCGAGGGCCGTGCCCGGCATGACCTGCCACGTCACTGACTCTCACCACCGACCGGAAGTGGTGTGTGTCACCGCTACGGAAATTCCCGCGGTCGTAAACGTCACCTCGCCGGCCGGGCCGGGATCTCAGTGCAATCAGGGGCTTCGCCGGCCGCTTTCCTGAAGTGGGGCTGACAGGTCTTCTCAGGATTTTTGTGAAGATGACCTGAAGCCCGGCTGGTGTGGCTCAGGGGCTTGAGCGTTGCCTGATGCACCAAGAGGTCATGGGTTCGATTCCCAGTCAGGCCACATGCCTGGGTTTGGGGCTTGAAGATTACCTGGGACTACAGACTGTTTCTCTGGTAGCCGAACCGATTCATGTTCATTGCAATATTTCATTACACATTTCGTCATCATATTCCAGGTGTAAATTGTAAGAACATTTTTTAAAAAGAGGTGGTTAATAATGTACGCGTGTTAAAAGTGTAACCACGGTGGAGGAGGCCTTTGCTTTTTGACCCGAGGATTCAGAAGTAGTTTTAATTTTGAAACTCCATGATTCATAGCATAGTCATGCTAAAGTTCGTTAACAGCACATTGAACAGCACGTGTACTGGCAGTTTTATTTCCTCCTGGAGGAGTTTACAGTAAGCTGAAACAGTTTAACTTCCTTTCTAGATGGCTCTTTCTATGGAGCCCGCAGGCACCTTTCCCCATCCCCTCCCCCCCAGGTGCTTTTTCCTTGCCCCTCTCTTTCTCCTTTTGCCTCTGTAACTTGTTGAGTCCATTTTCCTGAGCCCATTTCTTTTTTTTTTAAATATATCTTTATTGATTTCAGAGAGAGGAAGGAAGAGGAAGAGACAGAGATAGAAACATCAATGATGAGAGAGCCATTGATCAAGCCCACAACCCGGGCATGTGCCCTGACCGGGAATCGAACCCGGATCTCCTGGATCCTAGGTGGACGCTCAACCGCTGAGCCACTCCCAGCCGGCCAGCCCATTTCTTATACGACTCACTTCTCCCTCTGTGCCTTTCTAAGTAAACTTTCTCTTATAGTTTGAGTCTTGGCTCTGAATTCTTTCTTAGCCAGAACTCAAGTGCCAAGGTTGCCGAACCAAGAGGTCCAGTGTGACTCCGCTGGTCTGACACCTGGTGCTGCCAACAAGCCTATATGGTTATTTTAGGTCTCTGAGTTTGTAAGGCTTACCATAAAGGCCTCCCTGAGCTTGTCAGGTTTAGTATGTGGCTCCTTTTTCGTCTACAGGATGAATGGCCATTTACCAGGGTGACTGTACTTTGAATAAAGGGAAATGATCAGACTTTTCAGGGAATACTGGACACTGTTTCGAAATTGACACCAACTCCTAGAGACCCAAAATGTCACTCTACTCTGTCAGTGAAAATAGGAGTGTATGGTTAACAATGTAGTTTTTGCTCAGGTCCCTGTAACAGTGGACCCAATGAGTTCCTGAAACTATCCGCTGTTTACTTCCCCAGTTCTGGGCTGCATAATTAAAACAAGCATGCTCAGCAACTGGCAGGATCCTCATGTTGGATCCCTAACCGGAGGACTGAGTAATATTTTAATGTGAGATCAGAAGAGAGGTGTGCAGGAAGTGGGGTTGGGGGAAGAACATTATGATGTGATCAAAGACCCAGAGAAGAAATCCTGCAGAAACCAGGGGAAGGTGAGAAAGGAATTGTTGGAATGTGATGGAAGTTAAAGTTGAAGTGCTTCAAGATCTAACCTATTTATTTATTTATTTTAAAAAATTTATCTTTATTGATATCAGAGAGAGGAAGGGAGAGAGAGACGGAAACATCAATGATGAGAGAGCCATTGATCAGCTGCCTCCTGCACACCCCCAACTGGGGGTTGAGCCTGCAACCTGGACATGTGCCCTGACTGGCAATCGAACCCCGATTGCCTGGGTCCTAGGTCGACGCTCAACCCCTGAGCCANGTTGAGCCTGCAACCTGGACATATGCCCTGACTGGCAATCGAACCCCGATTGCCTGGGTCCTAGGTCGACGCTCAACCCCTGAGCCACGCCCGGCTGGGCAAGATATTTAATATTTGGACTTTAGTCTGGCCAGGCATGGCTCAGCGGTTGAGCATCGACCTAGGATCCAGGAGATCACGGTTCGATTCCTTGTCGGGGCACATGCCTGGGTTGTGGGCTTGATCCCCAGTCGGGGGTGCGCAGGAGACAGCCGATCAATGACTCTCTCTCATCATTGATGTTTCTGCCTCTCTCTCCCTCTCTCTTCCTCTCTCTGAAATCAATAAAGATATGTTTTAAATATATATATATATTTAAAAGCCAGCAGTGACCATTAGGGAGTCACTGCTGGCTTTGAACAATAGTGTGGCATGAAGTAAAATTCTGTGCAGGTGGAGAAGGGATGGAATATAGGCAGGGAGTTACAGATAAATATGCAGTTCTTGATATTAAGCAGTTTACAGTGGAATGATAAAGCAAATACACAAGTCAAGGTAGGATAATGATGAAGATCCAAAATATGTGTGAAATCAGAGAAAAGGGGTCTCAAACAGAGAATGGAAGCAAGAAATGCTTTGGCAATCTGCTCAACCCCAGATTTCTCTATTCTAGCCTACCTCTTAAATCAATATTTGTAATTTGCCTCCTACTATGATATCTTATTTGCCATTGACATCTATTCCTGAGAGTATTGATATTTGTTCAAAGCTTTTTAGCCTGAATTCTTTGCCTACAATTGCTGTCAAAGCAGGGGAAGGAGGCCCTGGCCAGGTAGCTCAGTTGGTTAGAGCGTCTTCCTGATATGTCAGGGCACGTACAAGATTCAAACAATGAATGCATAAATAAGTGGAAAAACAAGTCAGTGTTTCTCTTTCTCTTTCTCTCTCCCTCAAATCAATAAATTTAAAAAAGAAGAGGGGGAGAAGATGCAAATAATAGAAATTCTCAGAGACAACAGACCAAAACCGCAAGTCATGCAGCCGAAGCATGTGTAGAGAAGAGAACTTTGATATTCAGCCACACCTGAAACCAAAGTCTTCGCCACCCCCGCACCCCCACCCCCACACGCGATACAGAACCAAAAGACCAGGACAGACATAGCTTGGAAAACAAAAAACAAAACAAAACAAAAAACTTCCTTTCTGGGAAAGTAGACTCTTTTTTTTTTTTTTGGCTGGTAGACTTTTTTACTTTTGAGGCCAAAGGGAGATAGAAACTGCAGTGATTAGTCAATATCAACCTGGCTGCTTCCATTCTAGGTAGGTTTTTCCTGCTCTGAGCTAATGATAAAGCCCTTCTTTAAACTACAGTTTTGTACTGTTTACTAAAATGTCATGCCAAAGGTTTCTTAATCCCTGAAGGGTGAAATACATTTTATTTAATTTAATATCGAATGCCTGCTATAAAAGGTTACATTACATACAAAATGAGCAAGACCTAAACTATATCAGGTCTGAAAAGCAAACAGTAAGAATTCAAAAGTATTCAATTTTATCCTAATCCTATTTTATCATTTGCCTGAGAACCTTACTAAAAATATGTTTGCTGTGTGTGGAATTCCACAACTCCTTTGTACAAGTTACAGGTATTAAGGCTTCTTTAGGATGAAGATGACACTTTTAGTCAAACTGTTTTATAAAAGTCCCAAATCATATATACCAAGAACACTTAAAAAGATACACAAACTCAAGCTTCTCGATCTTTTAAAGAGAAAATAGACCTCAGAGAGAAAATGAGGTCAGACAGAAAATCAGGGTGACTCTTCAAATGGGCAAATGCTTACTTAAACCTGGTCTCAAACTTGCATTAGTTTCTTTCTCTTTTGTATGCAATTCCTTAATGATCTTGGTTTGTTGACCTTGGCACAGGAGATTGAATTGGCTAAATCAAGTTTCTTTGAACTTTGTTCTGTGTAAGCAATATCTGTGTTAAGAGAAAAAAACTGATGGAGAGGATTAGCCATTTGAAAAAGTAAATAACCTCATTGGTTAAATCAGGTTAAATACACAAATAATTTGCTAATAAGTAAACGATGTTCTTTCTAAAATTCATTATACCCCTCAGAATTCGTGTTGCTATTTCTCCTCCCAAAACTATAGTTAAGTCTCTTAAATGGTGGGGTTTTTTGTTTGTTTTTTGGTACACTTTTAATGTAGTCAGCTTTAAAATATTGAAAAGCAGCATTTGTCATCTGCCCACCCTAACTTAACAATAGAAAGTTTAAGTTTAAGCAACTGGTGAGACAGCGCATAAAAAATAGTTTATTATTGTCCACACATTGTCAAATCCTTCTCTGACGTCTTAAAATGTGGTTACACAAATATCAAGAAAAAATTATTAGTACTATTACTAGTTGCTAAGGGTATTGATATTTCTTTGCTCAACTACATATATATATATATATATATATATATATACTACACTACCATAAACTTTTCTAAACTGATGTTAGTAATACATTCATCTTTTTTATCCTTATTTTCCAAAACAACATGACCCTTCTGCCACATCTGCACCCTTCATATGTATATGTATCAGATTTTCTGTACATTACTTTCAGAGTCTTCAACCCTACTTATGAAAATTATAAACAATAAAGTAAGTGACACGAAAGTGTTTCAGTAAGGGGACAGCACTATACAAAGAATATTTCATTAAAGTTGATTATTTAGACCCAAAAGAGGGAAACAGGCATTCCTAATAAAATTTGTCCATATGTAGAAGTGTACTTGGGCTCACACCAGGGCTCCTTTGCTAGCCTGCTCATGACTATTGAATTGTCAGCTAATAAACAGGACCAATGGTGTTTATTTTCACGGGTGGGGGTGGGGTATTTTAGGACCTTTAATTAT